AAAGCGGCCGATCGCGACGAAACTTTCAGTACCCTCGCATTGATCAATTTTACACCTACCCTGAAAATTTCATGACCCTGACCCCAATGACCTTTGACCTGTGACCTCTTTACCGAGACCATGTTTGCCCGGTCCGCGTATGTCGGCTCGCATTAGCCGCGCGTTTGCAAGCTTTTCGTGGTTTCAAACGTTCAAACATGTGATTTGATGTTGCTCCCATGCATTAGGGTGGGTGTCAAGGTCACCTGAAGGTCAGGTCAGGTCATTGACCTTTGGTGACCTCGGTTCACTTTGTCGAGTATTACATGTTTCTAGGCTAGTTTTTGGAGCTGAATTCGAATTTAGCAACCATTTGAACATTTACGAAGTATTTTTGGTGACTTCGTAACATGTTACGAAGCTGTCAGAGGCGGTTGACACGTACTACGAATACCCGTCACGACGCCTACTGGTTGATAGCTGACCTGACCCGACCTGGTCTAAATGCTTAAAGACATCATCTGTGATCAAAACTAACACGATATTCGTGATCAGCACCCCGAAAAACCCCTTAGCAGCCACACTTTACGACTTTCTAACAGGTCCCGATTTTCCCGACTTTGAGTCATTGACCTGACCTGGAAGGTCAAGTGTCAACCAATGAATAGGCTCTCGCATGCGATTTCCTGACTGCGGAAAGAGTCTGATCCAGGCATTAGCACATTTTCCCTTATCCTTTTTGACATCTTGTGAAGCAAAAGTATAGATCTAGCCTTCTTGATGACGATACAGAATTGATTTTCCGACCTAGACCCTTGCACGGCAAAGTTCGATGTCACGGACGCAAAATTCCAACACCTCTGTCAATATTAGAGGTTATAGCTTTAGAGACTACCCCGGCGGCCGCTGGGCCTCCGCACCACCCCACGATAGGACCGCGGCCGGAATTAGCGCGACATTGGTGGATTTGGCGACCTTTCCCAAATTGAGTTAAACTGTGTCACGTAGATCAGAAATGTCCATGGACCACAAATCTGCAAATATTTTTCGTCCATAGTGTACAGCCTCCGCGCCACATCAGCCCAAACACAAAGTTTTGTGCCAAGCATCGTAGACCCGTTTTCGTACGGAGAAAAATAGCAGCTAATGTAGGTAAAAAATATATCTATTAGACGGCTTTATCAATATTTTCGACGTCTAACCTGATAGTTTAGACCATGGGCTAAACGATGGAAGAAAAAAACTCAAAGCGGAATAGGTATATAAATACGCTTCCAGCCACACTTTACGACTTTCTAACAGGTCCCGATTTTCCCGACTTTGAGTCATTGACCTGACCTGGAAGGTCAAGTGTCAACCAATGAATAGGCTCTCGCATGCGATTTCCTGACTGCGGAAAGAGTCTGATCCAGGCATTAGCACATTTTCCCTTATCCTTTTTGACATCTTGTGAAGCAAAAGTATAGATCTAGCCTTCTTGATGACGATACAGAATTGATTTTCCGACCTAGACCCTTGCACGGCAAAGTTCGATGTCACGGACGCAAAATTCCAACACCTCTGTCAATATTAGAGGTTATAGCTTTAGAGACTACCCCGGCGGCCGCTGGGCCTCCGCACCACCCCACGATAGGACCGCGGCCGGAATTAGCGCGACATTGGTGGATTTGGCGACCTTTCCCAAATTGAGTTAAACTGTGTCACGTAGATCAGAAATGTCCATGGACCACAAATCTGCAAATATTTTTCGTCCATAGTGTACAGCCTCCGCGCCACATCAGCCCAAACACAAAGTTTTGTGCCAAGCATCGTAGACCCGTTTTCGTACGGAGAAAAATAGCAGCTAATGTAGGTAAAAAATATATCTATTAGACGGCTTTATCAATATTTTCGACGTCTAACCTGATAGTTTAGACCATGGGCTAAACGATGGAAGAAAAAAACTCAAAGCGGAATAGGTATATAAATACGCTTCAAATGTTAAGTTTTTTTTGGTGCTTTAAAAATTTTGAGTTAATTTTACTGTTATAGATATTCTGGAATGCCGATATAAAAAGTCCCGCAAGGTCCCGCTGTTCTTTTATCAATATGGTGTTTACCAATCCATTGCCTTTCAGAAAATGTATAATTTAGCTGCGTCAGCCTGCGGCAGCGAAAATGAGGGGCATTTTTTTACTCCAGGTCGCCGCGGCCGGGAGCCGCGAGTAACAGAACCTCAGGAACCGAACAAGGTTGCCAAGTAGGTACCAACTATATTAAAGTTTTGTCCGGACATATCCATACCATCGGAGTTTCTGATACACTTTTCTGACCCGTAATAAATTTGTTATATAGTCATGTAGGCCATCAGATTCCCATCTTCACGGTTTTGGTGGCTACATTATTTGCTTATCGGAATTTCCGGTGCCGTCATGACCTGGCCTGACAGGTGCTGCCGTCTTATCACGTGACCGAGCGGAGTCGAGGTCAGGGCAGGTCAACCGATTAATTAATCAATTAATTAATCAATTAATTAATCAATAATTAATGAATTAATTAATGATTAATTAATTAAATTAATCAGAAATTGCTTAGAAAGTACACCGAATACCATTTTTATGATTCTACCATCCTTTTCATGTGAAAAGCGGGCACGAAATACGAAAAAGTACCGATGTCGCGCTAATTTTCGCTCCGGTCCCATTGTGCCCGTCGGCCGCTGGGGGGGGGGGGGGGGGTGGCATATGTGTAGGTATATACACACTCACCAAATTAACCCGCGCCCCGTTGGGGTCTGCCGAGTTATGCCGAGCAACGCGCCCTGCTGGGTGCCAATTTGCCCCCCCCCCCCCCCTAAGATCTCGAGAACCACGCAACATAGCGACAAGCGGCAAACGGTGTTGGATAGTCCCATCAGGGAACTACCTTCTGACCAAATTTCATTGACCTAGGTCAAACTGATGACGTCACAGATCAGGTCAAAGGTCGAATTTTCACCATTTACAGGCATTTCAAGAAATGCGTTGTAAAATCGAGTAAAATGCATTTCATTGAATATCATCGATGGGGAAATGTTCTTCAAACACATATTTTGCTATTTGAGGTCACTGATAACAGGTCAGGTCACAGAGGTCAGGCCACTGAGGGTCACAATATGAAAATATCATGTGATGATGCATGTTTTATGGTCCATTTTATATGACAAATACGATTATGTGGGTCAAGCAGCCTTTGGGGTCAGTTCAGATTATGTTCTGGTCAGGGTCAGGTCAAGGTCAGCCGTCAGGTCAAATTAGGTCAAATTTCAAAGTTGATATTTTTGCATAAAATGGGTATTGATTCGTTGCAGCTCGTCCCGGGGAATCCAATGGTGGTCTTTGTTTTGCGTTACGTGGTCTAGAATGGCTAAAAATTGAGTTAAAAATTGACGTCATCAATTTTGAGTACTAGTTTCAGGGTAGGGGAGAGTGGGGTAAGATGCCCAGGGTGGGAAAGACGCCCCACCCCCTCTAGCGGCGAAACAAAGAATCGAACCTGGAAATTAATGTTCTTAGCGTAAAGCGGAGGCCTGCCTTGTTAACTGCACAAAAATTTGCGAGGCTCAGTTGGGCAACGGCTGGCTGGAGATTGCATGTTTTTTATTTGCTGCTTTCAAAAAATATTTTGGTGTCAAAACATTGTAAATATCAAAGAAAGTAGATAATTTTTGCGTCCCTTGCTATAGTCGTGATAAATTAACATGCGTGTGCTGTGTCCCAAACAGTTTGTTTCAGGGTGTAGTTTTATGGCTAACAAATTGTACTGATTTAATGTTACCTCGGTACCTTGGGGTAAGATGCCCCCTGTCCTGATGGGGAAAGACGCCCCCCTAAATCCGTAGGCTGTCCTTCAAGCAGCCCGTCAAATCATTTACTACATACCTGTGATGAGAGACAAAAGCCGATCTGGGACTATTGAGAGTCCAGTACGGTCGGGTGCTCCCCATGCCGGTCTCTCGGCCCACACAGCGACTTTTTGGGCGGCATCTGACTCTGAGAGCCCTTACGACGGCCTCTGTGGGCCACATTATTGGCTCCAGGACCCCTCACGACATCCTTTGAGGGCTCCCACGTTGGCTCCACGGGCCGCGCTGGCATCTGAGGTCCCCACGATGGGCTCGAGGGCCCTCAAGCATCATGAAGACCTATAAGGGCCCCACAGTGGTCTCCGAACGCCACCACGGAGGCTTGTTTGGCCGCGCTGGACTATGATGGCCCTAACGATGACCTCTGAAGCCCCTTACGACTACTTTTGAGGGCCCTTACGATGACGTTTGGTGTCTACTGCAGGCCCGAAGGGACTACTGATTCGTTCAGGCGATTCACGTGCCCATTTATGTCACTTATAGTCCAGGGGGCATCTTACCCAACGCCAGGGGGCGTCTTTCCCACCCTGTGGGGTAAGATGCCCCCTTTCACTTCTTCAGGAAAATGCTTAATAGCAAAAAAAGTTATCATATTTCAAGCACGAAAGTGTGGTATTTTTGGAGAAAAATGTTGTCGGCTTCCGTTGAAACTACAAGTTTTTGCTTTCCGATCGTCATTTTCGAATAATATATGACATAGTAAAACCCTGGGCATCTTTCCCCACTCTCCCCTATATTGAGTGAAACTAGTTTTTCCGCTATAACTTGGCCAAAAAGGGAGGTATCGATCTAAAATTAGGTATGTACATACGTACCTATATCATAGACCACATAGGCCGGAATCGCGATTCGGCGTATGTCGGCTCACATAAGCCACGCGTTTCAAGCATTCAAACAACATGCGATATGTTGCTCCAATGCATAAAGGGTGGGTGTCAAGGTCAGCTGAAGGTCAGGTCAGGTCACTGACCTTCGATGACCTCGGTTCACCTTTTTTGGCTATGTTCAAGGCCGGCCGTATATGCTATGTTCTTGTTTTCGTGCATTATGCATGCAGTTCTCTATACACCGCGATGCATGCTTCATGCATGCATGCTTGAAATGCACCGTATTTTATCTTCAATGCATGTTAAATGTTTTTTTAATTGGTTCTATGACGCAAACATTTGTTTTCAACCATTTTCAACGTTCGCTCTGATGATTGGTGAAATATCGTGACGTAGCCCGCAAGCTAGCAAATCAGATGTCGACACATGTATTTACGTCATCAATTTACTTTGGCCACCTTGAGACACATGAAGATAAACCGATACAACCAGTCAAGACGAGACGAGAGTCGGTTGAGCGCATATGTGTTGTTGTTTTCAATGTAAGGCGACCGAACGGAAAAAGGGAGGTTTTTTGTGTAGTTTCGTCCCAAGCTGTGTGGTTTACAGCACTGGGCTTAAAATAGTCAAATCGCTGGTGAGTATTTCTGTTGAAGCTATTTTATATTAGGTATATATATTATATTAGGTATATTTATATTAGGTCTGCCGGTACCTACTGAAACGATTTTGTGTCACTCCAATAATCCAATTCACGGATCAGTTTCAATATTGAATACCTTTCTCATTTTTGGATATCATACTGTCCATTGCGTTGTATTTGTCAAGGTGATCACTGCTCGCATGAACACCGTTACAGGGTTCATTTCAAATTTCCTGAAATAAGTTTTTCAATGGATTTATGATTTTTATGCTCAAAATGATCAAAAAATAAAATAAAACCTTTGATTACTTTCTATATTATTATATAGGAAAAACTATTATGTAAATTAATGTTTGACATGGAATATTTTTAGGTACGCCTTGACCTATCATATTGTGTAGTATAAATCTACGCATTCTGCATTGGCTGTAAGCAGCATGCTGATTGGCTGGCGATGACGTGGCTGCATTCCTCAGCAAGGCGCACATTCCTCAGCAAGGCACTCTTTAGTCTTTACAGAATGAGAATTGAAATATCCTCGTCTATGGTGGTCGTTGGGCCATAAAAGCTCCTGATTGGTGCTAGTCTTAGGCCTCAACTCAAGCTATGAAACTGCTATTCCAGTTCAAAACCCATGTTAAAAGTGAACTATTTCCATTAATACGATCCATCAGACTTAAGCGTTTGATTGTATCAGTCACTGTTTGAATTGGCATCAGTTTTGAATTGGCTTGGATAATTATTTTGTAGATTTTATTGTTAAAATGTGGACTGAAAATCTGTTAATTAAAAAACTTTTTTTTAGAGGACATTATATTATGTCTTATACTTATCTAATTTCTGTCAATGCTTTTGCTGCTTATTTAACTGTCACTGTTTGCATTCATCACCTAGATCCATTTGCACTTTGCAGTCAGCGCCTAGTGATGCAGCCTCGTCGGGGGCGAGGTCAGTCCCAGGTGGGGCTGGGAGTCATCATGCTGGCCTCGCAGCTCCTCAATGTCGGACTGGACCGCATCCCACCCGTCACCCTGGCTACCATTGCTGCTCAAGTGAGTCTAGCAGCTGAGGTAGGAGAGGATCAGTGCTGTTTTAAGTTTTCTACCCTATAGATCACAGGCAGAAAAGAGATAGGAGCATGGCTGAATTATCCAGTTTGTAGCAGATGCAGATTCCTTTAATGCCTTCAGGCCTCCTTCTGCAATCTGAACTCCACTGGTGTCTGGTACTATCTCTCTTGAAAGTACCGTGCATCGGGTCAAGGCCCTAAAACATACATCAGGTAGACAGTGCCACCAAGCCCAATGTAGGAAGGGCTGCTAAGTTTGAGAGTCGCCGAACCACTCAACCTGGGGAATGGATGAGCTGCTGCCGCTGAACCGTCTATAGCCGCTGCTGGTTCACCGGTACTTTCTTTCCCTATGTTACGGTGCTTTCAAGAGAGACTGTACCCTTGTCTCTTGATTGGCCGGCAGGTGGCGCTGTTTCTGAACATCATCCGTCCGCCGTGGCACCGGTATGATGCCTGTATCAGTGTGCTCACTGTGCTGCGTCAGGGCGACTACAAGCGCATCCTCATTAGCACCTTCGAACATGCCGACGAGTGGCACCTCTACTACAACATGGTCTCTTTCCTCTGGAAGGGCATGCGTCTCGAGCAAAGGTAAGCGGGTGAACGTCACTGTGGATGGTCATCTGTTACCGTGAGATCGTGAAATTTGGTCATAGCTCGACATTCGCGTACTTACTAGGTACATTTTAGGCGCGGTAGTTGCGGCAGTTGGCCGTTACTCTAGGTGCAGTTGCGGCAATTGTCCCTCCTGTGTGATATTTTGGTTAAGCGCCATGATTTCATTATTGATTCATGCTTTTGATGATAAAATGCTGCAAAGCCCGCACCGCACATATGGCTCGGGGGTACTTGGAGTGAGAGAATCGGACGGTACAGCACGGCCGACCGCTGGGTGCTGGTCATAGACCCGCTCCAGCCCCTGATTTGCGTCTATATGCTTGTTTTCCTCAACTGATTTTTTCTCGGTGCGCTGTACAGGAAGCGTATGCATTACGGTCGAATTAAGCTCTGTAAGCAGAGTGGGGCTTGTTCGACTTTGTTTGCAATTCGCGCTAAATTCCAGGCATGAAGACTTGTATAAGCAAATGCTCGCACTCCGATGCTCGTGTGATTTAATTTAATGCCGGTAATTTCCTATTTGGGGCTACATTTGTTTAAAAAATCCGTAATTGCATATTGATTTAGCAGCTGCGTGCTGACGAGGTAACCGATAAATTATTCCCAGTGCGCGAACCACAAGCGCTACGATTGCTGCTCTTCTGGACTTAGCATCACTTTGTGGCATCACTATCGGATGACATTATATAGGCTCAATCATATGCCTTATACCTATGTTAGCATGGAGTCTATTTCATTAGATTCTCTGCTCTATCCCAAATATATCGTGTGTCGTACATAGTTGCTGACCAGTGATCGCTCACGATGGTTTCTGACTCGCGCTGTGCCTGGTTTTCAGGATGGGAAGCCGGCGGTTCGCCATTCTTCTGGCAGTGTTCTCAGTCTCCTGCAGCATGACCTATCTGGCCTTGGCCAAGACTGCTACAGACTTCTTCCACGATGGCTCATACTCCAGACAATGCGCCATTGGATTTTCAGGTACTTACCATTCCTGAGTCAGGATATGCTTCTTTACCAGTATGGGATAGGTAGTCCATTGATATTTGTTGCTTAAACCGTTTCGGTGACGACTTTTCGGATGCTGATAGCACGGAATATATAGTTACGTAGACTATCCCTCGCCCATGTAGGGGGGGGGGGGGGTTGGTGCAACCCCCCCCCCTGAGGTTTTTCTTAGCTACACGCCGAACCGTTTCAGATAGCCTGCTCAAATTTTCAGTACCCTATGGGGCATCCTTTGCGCAACTTTTGGTATTTAAGCCAGATTTACGCTAAATTGGAGATTGCTTCACATTGGTATAAATGCCGACTGACCTGACACACTGATGGATTGTTTTAGAATCACAACTGGCTGATTTGACATTGGCACAATGTCCGTTGACATTTTGAAGGTTACTAAAGGTCAGGGTAAGGTCAGTGACCTCGGTTGACCTGTAATGACTTCTTGCACTTGTATGCCTTTTCGGGGTATTTTGATGCCCTGAATTCGAATTTGCTATCCATTTCAGGCATCGTCGGTTGTTTCTTGTAGTTCATTTTGGGTCAGGGTCAGGTCAGTGACGTCACACGCCTGACGTGACCCAATGCACAAATGACCTTGCAGACTTCCGATGCTCCCAACGCATCATTTTTAGAGTTATGACATCGAAATACACACCAAACGATAGAGAATTGATCAAGGATCACGATAGTGAAGGTTTCAAGTCGACATCTCTTACCGTTTTGCCGCAATCGGCGCGGAAATCTGAAAAAGTTAGATGTTTCCGAAAATTTGACCTTTGACCGGTCATAAGTAGGTCAAATGTTGACCTAGGACCAAAAAATATACCACCAAATCGCGAGATCTCGTTGAGAGCAATCCGTTGGTCTTTTCCGCTAAGCTCTACGACGCTCCGTTTTCAAATGCCAGGGGGGGGGTCGCACCAACCCCCCCCCCCCCTGCATGGGCGAAGGTGGCAAAACACCGTTTACGGGCGAGGGCTACATATTCCGTGCTGATAGTTCGGGTGACATGCTCCCGGCATGCTGTGCATACAAATGCAGTTGTTTGGCAGCAATCACATTTAACAATTCTCTTTTTATATAAACGTGACACGTGGTTCCTAATTCCAAGTATTTGTTCATGTGTACATTTTTTTTTCATCGCATTTCCAGGCTTCTACAGAGCTTATTCGCGTCCCTTTATGTTGAACCCTGCCGACCATCGGTCTCTGTTCCATTGTCGTGCAGGTGTGATATTTGCGCTGAAGGTGCTCACTCACCAGCTGGAGAGCGCGCCCGGCACGTGGACCTACCTGTCGGGCCTGGCGGTGCCGGCGCGCTGGGCCGTCTGGGCCGAGCTGGTCCTCATCCACATACTGGTGCCGGGCGCCTCATTCATCGGCCATCTGGCGGGCATTCTTGTAGGCCTGGCTTACACGTACGGGCCGCTAGAGTACGCCGTCAGCTGCCTCGACAAGATTATTGCAGGTGAGTGGTCTGCCTGTGTGCATGGAGGGCTCAGCTGTGATGCGTAGAAGAGGCGTGCTTGGCTTTTCTGGGGTTGTAATACCTTTTTTGCGCTATGTTGATATTTTTCTTCGTGTATTTCTTCGAAGTCGTGACTCCGATTACGCGCCGCGAAATTTGGTATGACTATAACCTCATCAATTTTACACATGGTGTGCAAGTTTGAACCTCCTACCTTTTAAGGTCAGGTCACTTTGAATGACCCAACCTCAAATCACTTTTTTGCAACTTTGTCACCGTGCCAGAGCTACAGTAGATGTCGGAGGCCTTTGAAAGTCGCAGGATATTATTAGGTCATTAGTAGCTACAATTTGTATATCTCGGAATTTTGATATCGGTGACCTAAGGTCAGGTCAATTTCGCGACCTCCCCATTATAAGTCAATGGGGGAAAAATCAACTCCCTGTTTTTACCACTAAAACGGGTCGGAATGGCCCCATATACCATACATGACTTCATATACGATCAACCTTCACTACCTTGAGGTCTGTTTTGCTGTTGGGCAGCTGTGAGGTCATGTGACGTCATCAAAGGTCACCAAAGGTTTTTGGCCAATAACTCCGTACAGGAACAAGATACAGACCCGTGGATGGTCTCATTGTGTTCAGCTCGTCAAGACGCATCGAATGATATACATGATGACCTCGAGGTCACGTGACCTGAGGTCAACCTTTGACCTTGACCTTTCGAGGTCAACATATATATCATTCGATGCGGATTGACGAGAGGATCACGATGATGCCCTTAGTTTGTTCCTATCTTGACTAATTCGAAAGTTATTCGAGAAAAACTCTCCATATCTAGCGCCGCCATTTTGACTTTTTCGACCCCTGTGACGTCATCTTTGACCTGACCTGAAAATGACCTTAGTAAAAATTGTAGATCTTGGCCGTGCGTATCCGATGCCGTTTACCGCTTGTCGCTATCTTGCTTCGTTCTCGAGATCTCAGGGGGGGGGGGCGGTCATCCGCCCCCCCCCCGTCGGTGCGAAGCTGGCGCAGACCCCCGTCGGTGCGCGGGTTAATTCCTGGAGTTATATTACTGCATAACATGAGAGTTTTTGGACAATAAAGTTGGTTTGGTGCCCACACTCGGCAAAAATAGTATCAGTCGCGTTGCCTATAAACGTTGTTGTCCCGTTTAAAAGCATTTGAATACGATAGTTATCCCTACCTGGCTCCTGGGGGAGGTCAACAGAACGTCGTCCGGAAGCATCTACATTCTACAGCACGTTTCATATTCAAGCAATGCTAAACCCAACTCATCAGCGAAGTATAATTTATGGTAGAAGTGGTTCATGCATATGCATACGATCTGCGTGTGGAAATGAATAAGCGCTTTAAAAAAAAAAAATCATCCTCACTTCTCGCCTCGACAAACAGAAGCTAATATGCGCACGAAATCCTGCGCTTATTCTCTTATTTAAATGGCCAGGTAGGTATGGTCTGCTTTGAACAATCGTTCTGAATTTTTCATGTCGATGTCAGGAAGTAATGTGTTGACTGGCAGGATATTTGTTCTTACTTTTCCCTTTGATGTGATTGTATCACATAATGCAAGATTGTTGTGACAAACAAACAGAAATTGCATCTTGCTTTGCTAGGTTGTTTTGCAGCGCTGTTCCTGAGTCATGCTTGTTTATACTGCCCTTTACGTTAGCTGTCCAGGACAGGTAACGTGGGTATTTAATGATTGTTTGGCCACCTTGTCTGGTCCTTTTGCTGTTATACCCTGTATTATAAGTGGTGCTACTTTTCACGCTGTTCTGCACCACGTATCGCGCCACGCTGTGAGGCCGTGCTGGGGTCGTGTCTTGTCCTCCCACCCTCCCCTCCCGCGGCGTCCTGTCGGCCGGCCAGCGGTGGGCGGGTCGATCCCCGTCTGTCCTGCCGCCCCGCCCCGCTCCGGCCGGCCAAATAGACGCCCCCAGCCGCCGGCGGCCCTTGTCCTGCCGCCCGCCCATATATATCACTGCCCATCGACATGTCGTCCACTGACGTCACGGTTACGTCACTGCTGCGGCCGGAGAGGGTCCCGTGTGCGTGCGGCCGGCGCGCTGAAAGCAGGTCTGTTTACTGGTCACCGCGGCGGGCAGCCGCACCTGTCCACAGCTCTCTGCCACGGTCGCCTCATGCGGCCGGTCCATGTGGACGTGCTGGTAGTTTGCTGTTTGTGAGCGGCTGTTTGCTGTCTTATCGATCACCGTACTTATGGTGTGCTCCTCTGTGTAGTGTTTGATAGATGGCACGTCGCATTTATGGTCGGCCGTAGTGAATATTAACGACTGTCTTGGCGTCGTATCATCGTGTCGGCGCCTTCCGTGTCGGCGCCGCCTCCCTCCCGGGGTGCGACCATGGACGGGGAGCCCGCAGACGTAATGTTTTTTTCCCCACACTGCCTCATGGGTGACACATAAATCTACACCCTGCCGCACACAAATCTGCCCGTTGGTCGGTGTCACGCACACACAAATATCATTGGGGTCGGTGTCAGGCACACAAATCTGGCTGGGGTTGTTTGCACATACAAATCTGACTGGGTTGGGTGTCACGCATACACCCGGGCAGGGCTGCGGAGTCGGAGTCGGAGTCGGTCGGAGTCGACAGTTGTGACCGGAGTCGGAGTCGGAGTCGATTTTAGAAACCCGAGCCGGAGTCGGAGTCGGAGTCACCGAAAATCTGTCGACTCCGCAGCCCTGCTAGGTCTGCGGAGTCGGAGTCGGGAGTTGGAGTCGGTCGGAGTCGACAATTCTGCCCGGAGTCGGAGTCGGAGTCGGAGCTGGTTTTTGAAAGCTGGAGTCAGAGTCGGAGTCGGAGTCGCCGAAAATCCATCGACTCCGCAGCCCTGCACCCGGGTATACGAAATACGAATCGCGGTCGCTGCGGTTGCCACACATTAATCATTCACGAAGGAAACAGGAACATGCTGGTCGATATGTAAAATGTCTTCAACGTTTTGGATTTTGTGCACAGTTGAATATAGTTTTTAATATTACAACTAATGTTGAAGAATGCTAGATAATTTAACAACTTTTCTCAGGAGAGCATTAAGCTTTTATGTGTATAGGATCGTTTATATGTATGAAAACATCTGGTGAAGCCAGTCGCTGAGTTTGTTGATAAACTCAGTCACTGATTAGGCGTTCAATTGCGTTTGTTGGAGTTCTTCCACAAAATCTTTGAAATCAGCATTGCTGATTTTATTCATAGAGGCGACAAAACTTTATTAATCACCACAAACTTCAGCTTGCTCATTGGCTTTGCAAGGCCTCGCGTGACCAGTGATTGTATAAATCAATGACATGGTTTATTTCATGGCACAGCTCCAGAGTCCCTCTCCGGGCTCATTAGTAAGAGGTTGGTGCTATTGACGCATCGGTATATATGTACAGTCCACAGCAGAAGTAATGTGGGGTTTCAGTCATGGGTATGTTCTGCTTCCGAAGCTTAGGAACGATTAACCAGACTACAATGAAACTTTGAATGTAGCTTATATGTATCGTCACCCTTGCAGCTGCAGCTTTAGCTATTGACATCTTCTTTTCGATCACTTCGCATTAAACAATCGCCAGTCAAAGCCAATCGTTGAGATTGGTAAAACCCTACATTACTTTAGCGGTGGGCTGTACCTACTAGCCCATCCGTTCTGCGGTGCCGGATTTTTTTTTCTTTTCTTCAACCCTCCTTCTCGACTCCCGTACAATGCGGCGTTGTGTCAGGGAGGCTTTCTGACGTCGAGCTGAGTGATCCAGTTAGGTCTAAGCCGATATTGGTGGGTAGTGTAACATCCTTGTTTTTATTCGCTACTTCTTGCTGTATTGTATCGTTTTAGTTTCGCCATAAGTACAGCGGCGGATGTGAATTGTGAGGGGCACCTCTGGTACGGCTTGTTAGCTTGTTACACCTGAGTCGTTACTTCGTGGAACAGACAATCGTATTTTCACAGAAACTTTTGTCTCGGTCAGTATTGCATTATGTGGAAGCCTCTACGATAGCCTGCTCGATCATTAGGTGGATCAATCCAATCAGGCAATCAAATCCCCCGATACCCATTACGAGGTCGTCGCGGGTCGGATATATCTCTGTCGGTGAGTCTGTGGGCCGACCGGCCGGCTCTCGGTCAGCCGAGCTGAGGCCAAGGTCGGTGTGTGTTGAATGTGGCGCCCGCCGCCGATCTGCGACTCGGCTCTGTCGGTGCCCTCGCGCTGAAGGCTCCCGGGAGGCGCGGCCGCTCACGGGCCAGCGCCGTCCAATTTCTTTAGAAGGCAGTGGCCGTGCCGACGGAAAAGTTAGCGCCGCGCGGCGCGCCCCGTATGACTGCGGTCGGGCTAATGTCGGGAGTTGGGCAGTCGGCTATGGTCACGGGTCAGTAAGCCAGGCTTTGTGGCGTATTACGTCCGCCAGGTGGCCGTCAATGATAACGTGGAGGGCGCCCATGGCCTCATTTCTCTCTCCCCCTCTCTTTCTCTCCCTTATCTCTCCCCTTCTCTGCCGTTCTCTGCTGTGCTCCGCTCTGCTGTGCTCTGCTCTCCCGTTCCTCCCTTTCTTGATCTCGCTTCCCTGGTGCTAGACTCACCTCTAGCTCTCCCATTCCTTCCTCTCTCCCTTCCCCTTCCCCTTTCCTCCTCTATCCTGTCTCGACCTCGAGATTCTGGGCTGTCATACACGACGCAGACCAGCTGAAAATAGCGCACTTCAAGCTGTCAGCGCCGCACAGAAGGGTGATGTAAATAGTCTGATTTGTGAATGTGCTCGCCGGATGGATCTATCGAGTTCGGATAAAGGCTGCGCTCCGATGCGATCCCCGGCGCCGGGACCCGGCCGATGGCTGTGCGCGCTGGCCAGCGAGGGTGAAACGGGAGCAGAATCATTCCTCGCACGTCGGCCTGATCGTGTTTACTTGCTCCGTGGCAGTTACACGAGTGAGTGGTACCGCAGTGAGCATGTCCAGTAAAACTGTTA